CTATGATCCGGAGAGTTGCTTGTAAATATTTTCAGAAGGCAGCGGAAATCTAAAGCAAGTATATCTTTGTTCTTGTACGTTCATCTGTATGGCTCTCAATTGAACCATCTTAATATCGTTTAGAAAGTAGTAGACTTTATCAGATAAGCCTCTACCCATGGGCTACGAAAAAAACATGTACTACGAAAAAGGATTGACTAATGAATCGTACTAAGCTATTTTCCTTGCCGGTGACGTCATCAGATATCAGATTCCTGCGTGTTCAGACTTGCAACGTTTGTTCACAGTACACTCTACACAGAACAAGTACAACGTTTGTTCACAGTACACTCTACAAAGAACAAGATTGTTTGTTCACTGTACACTCTACACAGAACAAGAACGTTTGTTCACTGTACACTTTACACAGAACAAGAACGTTTGTTCACAGTACACTCTACACAGAACAAGAACGTTAGTTCACAGTACACTCCACACAGAACAAGAACAACGTTTGCTCACAGTACACTCTACATAGAACAAGAACAGCGTTTGTTCACAGTACACTCTACATAGAACAAGAACAACGTTTGTTCAGAGTACACTCTACACAGAACAAGAACGTTTGTTCACTGTACACTCTACACAGAACAAGAACGTTTGTTCACTGTACACTCTACACAGAACAAGAACGTTTGTTCACTGTACACTCTACACAGAACAAGTCTACAAGCTGTGCCCGCGACGCTATAATGACGTCTCAGGAGCGCGGCGGAAGCTCCAAAATGCCGACAAGCCTAAACCGAAATCGACGCGGTCAAGCTGAGAAAGTTGATATAATCTGAACCAATGCTTGCCACAATCACAAATTTCATAATTTTGTATCAAATTCTAATGCAATCAATGCTTTGAGCAAGATAAATTGGTATCAGATATCGCTTTGCTTTAAAATCAATAAAGAGGAAATGAGGATCAAAAAGGTTAATAAATAATATACGTTTAAAAATTACCTTTTGAAGACAACACTTCCAAAGAATCCAGTGTCTCCAATCTTACAGATGTACAATGAATTTCTCATTTAATTTTCGAACATTAAAAAAATTAATTTATCAATTTTTTAATATATAAATTTTTTGATACATATATTTTTTTCAAAATTATTTATTCTGTTAATTGATTCATGCATTGCCTCTGATTTCGCACAAGTGTGCATAATTTCAGATCAATTAGACAGGTAAGAGTGTGTCAAACATCAGTTATAAGATTTGTAGCTGACAAAATTATTTTTTCAATTTTTTAATATTGAAAAAAAAAATATTTTTTTTATTTTTTAAATCATTTATTTTGACATTTGATTCATGCATTGTCTCCAACTTTACACAAGTGTGCAAAACTTCAGATAGGATAAGTAGAAGTGTATTAAATTTCGATTACAAGATTTGTAGCAGACAGACAGACAGACAGACATGCAAACAAACAAGAACTGAAGTTAAAGAGAAGTGTTGTATAAAGTAAGGAAGTCCCACAGCAATGGTACAATGCATGGAACAGCAGCACGTAACATCAGGAAATAGCGGCACGGCAGCAGAGTAACACCAGTCCGTGACGTCACAGCAGCACGTGACACCAGTCCGTGACGTCACAGCAGCACGTGACACCAGTCCGTGACGTCACAGCAGCACGTGACACCAGTCCGTGACGTCACAGCAGCACGTGATACCGTTACGTCACAATACGCAAATGCCTAATATGACCAGTAACAGACAATGCGCTAACGGTGCATAGGCTGTATAATTAAACCTGAGGATAGTAAAACCTGGCTGTGGCAGCTAACTATCCTGGAAATTACGATGTCACAGCAGCACGTGACACCAGTCCGTGACGTCACAGCAGCACGTGACACCAGTCCGTGACGTCACAGCAGCACATGACACCGTTACGTCACAATACGCAAATTCCTAATGTGACCAGCAACAGACAATGCGCTAACGGTACATAGGCTGTATAATTAAACCTGAGGATAGTAAAACCTGGCTGTGGCAGCTAACTATCCTGGAAATTACGATGTAAAAGCTCAAACCCGATTGGCTTCAGTAAACATCGTTCACCAAAATTACTTCCGTACGCATTAGGTACGAATAACCATCGTTCACCAAAATTACATCCATACGCAATACGCAAGACTGCAACCTATAACCAATTGCAGAAATATTAAATAAATCAAATTCCTGCGAGTTCTCAATAGTGCTCTCGGGTGAATCGAATTTAGGTCTAATAACTCGAGTTTTCATTGCAACCAAAGAGCACGAGATAAAGCTAAAACCGGGTCGCCTGCCGAAGACCACCACTGCCCTGGATGTAATGGACATCAGGATTCCTGCATTCCGGAACGTAGCCTTCAACACTTCTGGACAATCATGTCTAGGCCGTGCGTCGAACCAGCCAGCCCTCGGTTGAACGGCCACTCGGCGAAGGACGATAAATTTTGGAACAGAACTATGTTATCTGAAACCTAACCTCAGATGCGGTGAACGTAAAATTACGTTTAACGATGCCGGGAAGTCATATTCGATCAGCGGCCTGGTGGTGCACGGCAGGTTTTATGCAAGGCCGGAGGAGGACATAGCCGAGTGGTTCACGGCTGATGGTGGATGTCCGGAGAGATCCAAGGCGTTCGATTCAGGGCTTATAGGTGCACAAAATTGGTGGTGCACGGCTGGCGCTGCCCTAAAACCTCTATGAGAGACAGCCGATCTAACATAAAAAAAATCCGGCTAATGAACATAAAAATATGGTTATCTACGTGTATATCTCGGACATTCAATTCTCAAATATTTAAAAGAGGAAAATAAATTTTCGTCAAGGATCTATGCGGCGAATGGAATCAACATGATGAAGTTCTCAGACACAAGTTTGGCGCATGCACTCTGAGAATCAAGAGAGATTTGTTCAAATAACGATATACTTTTTGCGTCTTTGTACGTCTTCCGGGCCCAGTTAGGCCCAGCAAAAGGACGTGTCAGTGTTACATGGATGAAGTGTGTCATTATTTGGACACATTAACCCATCCATTTCATTGAGTGTAGCACAGATGTTGCGAAGATTACCATAAATGTCAGTGACGACGATTCCCGCACGTATAGCAGTGAACTGTCCAAAGCCGCAATCGTATATATTAGCGAATAATTACGATTAAAAATTCAAATTATGACGAAGTCAATTCGCTGAAACCTTATTACTATTACGGTTTCTTCTCTTCATTTCTTTTCAGTCCGAGAAGCTCAACCAAAATTCATAAAATCTGATAAAGTAACATGCGAACAAAAATCAACCGACAGATCTTTCAAACTAAGTCTGAGTTGAGATTCTCATCTGGTCCAGCCCAGGGTATGCAGCATAAAATTTGTCAAGAATTTTACCAACTCGTAATTTAGCTGCGGTCGCTTCAATTTTTGTATGACACAAGATCGTGCAGGGCTGGATTCTAAGCGTCTTTACATGACCCTTCAAATGTTCTTCCTTGTTCCAACTAGTTAGGTGTACTAAAAATGACCATACTTTCAAATTTTCGAAATCTAGCTCGTACAATTTCAATGATCCAAATTGCCCTGATACTCGTAAGACAATGAACATCTTAGGTTAGATTTTCGCTTCATGAAGTTTGCAATCGAAATTTATGTCGAATAAACAAATCAAACAAGTAAATCTAAAGATGAAAGAAGAAGAAAAGATGAGCAGTAGAAAGCGTATAATTAGCACGGCAGGTTTAGGTTGCGAGGAAGCAGCTCTGTTTTAGCACTGCGATCTAAGCGAGACCGCGACGGCAGCCAACAGCTCGAACGCCTACGCTGCTCTCTCGTTGTAGGTATCCCAGTAAGATTGACACAATATAGAAGGTTTAAAATAATGAAAAATAGCAATTACCAAATTCTCGCGTTCAATGACGGTATTTTTCCCATTATTTTCAATCTAATGGATAGTTATCTTGTTAACTTTGGTCTTGATGCATTCCAAAGAAACAGACAAGAAAAACGAACAGACCAAAACCGACGGGGAAAAATTAGAATAGTGCCGAAAAAAAAGTAGGCTAAACATATATTCTGTTTCCGCCAAACTACTATGAATAAGATCTTAGAATGTGCGCAGGAAATAGGGGGAGAATAGTTAAGTAGACTTTATCAGATAAGCCGTAGCTAAACTAAAAAAGTTAGGCCTACGTATACAACAGTTATGAAACTTCGGCATAGCCTAATTACTTGACGTGACGTCGGCCGGCCTTTGAACATAAAAGATGGGTAAAATGAGAAGCATTAAAATAATTAAGCACTAATAGATAGGGGAACCCGTATAAAGCGTCTATTAAAATTACCATTAGGATAACTCATCAAACAACGCAATCGCGGCTGTTTTTGAACATCTATAAAGACCAATCTCCATAAGAATGGTAAAAATCACGTTTGGACTGATAAAAATACAAAAAGGGATTAAATTTATTAAAAAAATAACCAAAATAAAATGTAAAACTAAATACAAGTTCGAATTTTGAGGGACCACGCATATATGATGTCAAAATTTTGGAGCAAGATGCCACATCGTCTACCGAAGCCTGCCTTGCATTGAACAATTCTATACCTTCACTACCTACCTAGAGTCAAACTCAAATCTTCGTTGGCAATATGTTCATTATTGCTAATTTTCACTTGCTATTAAGAGAAATCCTCTGTATAATTGCATTCCATTCCACGCATGAGCTAAGAAATTTTTAATGCAACGATATACTTGCATGCAGCAATAAGACTGGTCACTGGTCACTGACATCAGTTCGGGGACTTCGGAAATGTGTCGTAATGCTAGGCTATTAAACTTTTTATTGAGCAAAATCGAGTGTATTAAGAAACTAAATAATTTTGATAAAACATAGTTTGAATATATCGCTTCATAAATATTATTCCCGGTCAGTTGGTAGCAAAATTGCTCCTAGAACCTAAATTGAAAAACCACCCTCAATTTTACCACCTCACCTTTTGAATCCCGAGAGGCTGTGCAAAATCCTTTCCGCCCTGCAGACGGAAGCCCCATGATGCTCCAGGTTGTTTTGAAAGATTGATCGTAATTAGTTGAGACATCTTTCCTATGTAACCTACACAGCTGAAACTGTGAGTTAGGTTCACGCACAGGTCACAAAATCTCTCACAGGCACTCGCGTACGCCCAGCCCGCTCCCCAACTGACCCTGACAGACGCAACCAGACGACTGACGATAAAGCTAGTACTTGAAATCCCGCCAACTATGTCTAGGCAGTTTGGAGCGGAAAATTTTGCGTGACTATACATTTCTTGATATCTTTACATCATGATAATGCGTTTTTACAATTAAAAAATTCATCGCCGTATCCCTGGTCGTATGATGCAGCCGAGTAGATTTACCCCTATATATGAACAAACGAGTAGAAGTAACCGAGCCTCATGTATATTCCTCTCCAACAATCATCGTAGGATTATATAAAAATAAATCTATAAGCCATGTTATCCTAATATTAACGAGATTTGCGTTTCATTGCTATTCGTGGCTATGATCATCTGTACAATCGTATTAATTCCGATGTATATCCAACTCAAAGTTAATACTGCATTTCCAATGACACTCGAATAAATACGTCCGGCTCCAAAAGCTCCAATAAGTAAGCGACATGTAATTCAAGAAGAAAATAAAAAAAAATCGTGAGAAAAATTTCGTGGAAATTGGAATTGACATAAAAACGGAAGTCATTCCGAAAACTGTAACGTGCTATGAGTGTCAGTTCCTTATCTCTAGGTTAACCCTAAATATGTGGTTACATACATTTCATCAGCTTTAACTGGTAATGCAGGTCATCCAGTTTTGTACGTTTATTTTATAATCATGCTCTCTTGTTGAGTTATCAGTTTTATGCTCAGTAACTACATTATTTAGTCTAAATAAGATGGATTCGTCCTTGGGTAAGTTTGTTAGGTACATCGGCTACAGGCCTACAGCCTACATCATACATGTATACTACTACCTTACCTTACTTGCTCACAATGTTAATGTATTAAAGTTTCTGATATGGACCAGCCCACCAGGGTTGGTGATTTTGTTGATTAAAAAAAATGAAATGAAAATTAAAAATCAATAATTTTTATGATTTTTTATTCGTTTTTTTCAGCTTTTTTTGTCTTTTTGAAATATTATTTTCTATGTTGCAATTAGCCTAATTTACAATAACAGTACCTATATGGCTATATGCACTATATGGATACCTAGCTAAAAAGAGCACTTTTTGAGTTAGGCTATTGCCTTCAATAATGGCCAAGGTGGTGTTTACCACTTTGGGACTTTTGGGTACCTAAACAATTATTGGTAAGTCTATTCATTAGCTTTGTAAAGTTTGTATGGAGCAAGCTCAAAGCTGCAAGGTAATGAGCTGAATATTGACCATTTAACTGGCTTCAATATACAAAAACACTTTAGGAATGTAGGTAGATCTTCTTATCATCTTCTAAATATTGAAGTCACATAAGGTAGGTATGTGCAAAAAAATTTTTTTTTCCTTTGATCGTAATGAAAATTACACCACTGAAAAGAGAAAAAAATTTAGAAAATTATCATATAAGTATGAGTGAAGTAGGTTGAAAAATGAAAAAGATATGAATTTTTTTCCTTTTTTCAATTTCACCCCAAAAATGGACCAACTTCTGTCACTTTTTTTGGAAAAACTATCATTTGTAGGTTTCCTATGAGCCAATTTCAAAGTTTTTNCATGTCTCATCTCATGTCTCAGTCTTGGCAGTAGTTCACTGTTCAGGACCAGCGTACCTCACTGGCTCATGACTGAACTGAACGTAAACAGCGCGACAGGACATGGTAGAAAAACTGTCCGAATGGCTGCAAATCTCTGAAATTTCGAGAGCATGCTCTAAAAACTATAATCTTGATTTCAAATTATCTTTCAATAATTTCAAAATACGATATCCATGTTTATTTCCCGCCCAAATGTTACCTCTTGCACATCCCAGCTAAGCAGGTACTTGATAGACATTTCTCAAAAAAGAAAAGATGTCATCATAGTTGAAGTTTTTTTAGTTCGTTTCCAAACAAAAGTCAATCAAATTAAGCTAACATTTTGGCAGGACTTTCAAAATTAAATACCTTACGCGCGCCGATGCGGAAAGTGGCTGTCCGCCATTTTGCCAGCATTGTTTACGTTCGAGGGTACTTTGTTCACATACCTACATAAGGCAAGATGGAATTCTAATTTCGAAGGTATATAATATTATTTTGATGATTTGATCCACCAAGACCACTTTTTTGACCCAACATCATTATTTGAGGCAAAAAATGAACTTCTTAAGGGCTAAAAACACGTACGCTAACTTGCTCAGTTTCTATAAAGTACCTAATCACTTGGAAGTTGTATGCAACTTCCAAGTCAGACACAGTCAACAATTAAAATTAGACTTATAAAACGTATTAGTTGAAAATTTATCTCTTAAGTTGACTGCAAATCGTCTGCAATGAACTAAACATCATTAAGTAATTGTAACTATGCTGCAAAGCAGAGTTTTCTATCATGCACACTCATAGTGGCAAAGCAGAGAGTTTTTTAGACTCTCCCTCAAGTTCATTTTTGAGTCCTATAAGTAGACTAGCTAAGTATCATGGAGACCAGCATTAACATATATAAGAAATTGGTTTAAATCTTGAGTAAATGAGGAAATTAAAAAAGAACTGATTCTAAAAAATCTCTGGTTTGTCACTATGTGCACACTAAACACGCAATTCAGAGTTCAGACAAGCAGATGCAGAACTACATATCATGTGGGCCAGCGTGCAACTGAATTAAATACCTAGCTTCATTCCTGGCGGCCCATGGTGGCAAAGCAGAGTTTTTTAGACTCTCCCTCAATTTAAATTTTGAGTCCTATAAGTAGACCACTACAATATCATGGATACTGGTAGGACAAGGTTCCCACAGCAGGAGGAGACACGTGGTTTTGATATTATGAAAAAAGGAAAGAGCGCAATAGAGGAACCCATGAATACAGTGAAAAGCACATTGCAGTAACAGAATAACTGGCAGAAGCAAATGAAAAGTTATATCTTCTATAGGTATCAAATATCTTATATAATAATAATAGACAATATATACTTATATCTCATATGAATCAAGCCTCAAAATGAACACAATAAATGAATTGGTCATTTCTCAAAGTCAAAGACACGGTTATGTCTGCAGTTGATGCATGTGTACCTAAGAAAATGCTTGCAGGAGTTGAAAAGGTGCCTATGGATGAACAGTGCAGTTAAGGCTCAGCTAAAGACCAAGAAAGAAGCCTACAAACATTATTTATGAACTTGCAGTGATTCTGATTGTAACCTGTATGCAAGAGCTTGAAATCAAGCTAAAAATGTTTGTCGCACTGCAGTGAAAAACTTTGAAAAAAATATTGCTAAAAATGCAAAAAATAATCCAAAAGCCTACTTTTTATATGCTAGTTTGAAGTGTAAGTCAAAGGACGGTATATCTGATTTGAAAATAGCCCAACAAAAGATTTCCTCTGATGAGGGCATGGCTAACGTTCTTAATCAGTTCTTCAGCAGTGTGTTCACAGATGAGGACTTGAACAGTATTCCAGATATTGAGGAGCGCCCAGTCGGCTCGAAGTTAACATGTTTTGAAATACACTAAGAAGAGGTTCTCAAGCGCCTGGTAGCTCTAAATCCCAACAAGTCACGTGGACCAGACGGCTTCCATCCCAGATTGCTCAAAGAATTAGCAACCATTCTGGCCAGCCCATTGACAGTTTTCTTTCAAAAAACTTTGAACAAAGGAACTTTGCCAACCAACTGGAAAGAAGCTCAAGTAACACCATTGTTCAAAAAAAAGTGACAAAAGCAGCCCTGGCAACTATCCCCTGTCAGTCTGACAAGTGTTGTTTGTAAGCTAATGGAATTTGTTGTGTGGGATAGGATTATCGATCACTTGACTGCTCACCATCTCCTATCAGATTGTCAACATGGTTTTATTGCTGGTAGATCCTGCACCACTAACTTATTATCTACATTGAGCCATTGGACTCGCCTGCTGGACAAAAGGGAGCCAGTGGTTGCATTGTACCTTGATTTTGCCAAAGCATTTGACCGTCTTCCACATGTAACCGGAAACACCGCCGCGAAGTTGAAATATTTATGGGTAGCGTGCCGACTTGGTATAGACTTTCGTTCTGATCCTAAACACAAGGGCTAAAGAGTCGCTCTTTGGTCTGGCTCTAAATTCCCTTGCATTGTAGAAAGGAGTAATGAACACGATGAAGTTTTCGTAGTATACTGGTAATCTTCAGGCAAATACAAGTTTCTTCATACAAGGCGCATAATTTGTTATTCTTCTTAATCCAAAAGTTCGTAGAAAAAGGTTTGACATTTCAGGGGTACAAACAGTCGAAAAACCACACAGTATGAGCCCTAATACACAGCTGCGAACAACAAAATGGATAGCAAATGGCACGTAGATGCAGAGACTAGGGGTCCTAGCCCTAATACACTGCCAAGAATCACAAAGATGGACAGCAAATCGTACGGGAACTAACCGCACCAAGATGCTAACAACCACACAGGAACGGGGTGGCAGTTACGCCTCGAAAGCACGAACCATTGGAGGGTACTAGCCCCCAATAAGCTGCTGACAATTAACTCGAGCGCAGAGGTTATTAGCCTCTACCTCGAGGGTGCAATTTGAACGGCTGTTAACCGCCCAACGCAGCCAAAACCTGGAATTATCCAAGAACTCCATCTATGCCGTTGTTAGCCCGTTAGTGGAACTCATTAAGAGTTATGCCCAGAACTGCGGTGGAGTTTATTCTTGGAAGCCCAAATTTGGCTCTGCCTGATTTGAGTCAAAACCGTGTCACCCCAACCCAGCACCACTGAGCACACACAACTTCCGAGCGCACACAACGAGGGGGTAACTCCGCCAAAATGAGCTTACCTCAACACTTTGTTTACAATGTACAAGAAACGAGCTACTAAATTTGTCTATATGCAAAGATATAGACAACATAGTATATTACAACAAAATAGAATCATAATATAATCTTTTGGTCAAATAATAAGTGAAAGTTGATTTAAGATAGAATAACTCGAGGATAATTACTCGCGATCGCCTGAGTTGATACCAGTTCGTCAATAGTCTAGACCAATGAATATTGACTAAGCATTATCAAATATAATGAGAAGTA